ATTGCTTTTTAACAAGTCATTAGAAGCTAGCACCTTCCCGAAACTACTCAAGACGGCAAGGGTTACACCTATACATAAAGGTGGTGACCCTACAGATTTAACCCTTTGACTGTCGCGGCCGTATATATACGTCTTACGAGGTACCGTGTTTGACGTATATATACTCATAAATTCTAGCGGCTTCAAATCAAGCAGGAGAAAGCTGGTAGTCCCACATGTGAGAGAATGGGTCTGTGTGGTCAGTGTGCACCATATAAAAAAAATCCTGGAGCACGCAGTGCATAATGAGAAAAAAAAACTCCGACCGTTTTTTTTAATTAAAATGCCGACTTTGTGGTCTATTTTCGTATAGTATTTATGGTTGTATTCTCATTTTCTTGGTCTCATTTGATAGAATGGAAAACATATTATAGAAGTAGAGGTGATTTTGATTGAATTTACTATAAAAAGAACCTGGAAATGGAGCTCAAAGTAGGGGAAATGTTTGATTTTTGCCAATGTTCAAAAGTAAACAAATGATGTCATTGTCCAATAAATGTCCAACTAGCCATTCTAATATGCAGTCATGAATGGATTGATGTTATTTATACAATTATTACAGTATTGCAGTAGTCTGCATAATAGTAAGTCTTCTATTTTTTGTTTGAATAAAAATTCAAAATAGAAAGCAAGAGTAATATCAGAGGGGCCTGGAGACATGACTGATGAACAAAGAAAATGTTATTTTAGAGCCAGGAATGTCTGCATTGTTCATTCTGGACCTTATTTTGAAATTATCATATTTTTTAATTTTCGTGAAATTGGCCAAATTGCAAATTTCTGACCACATTATTGGGTAGTTGAAATCGGTAAATGGGCAGTTTCTTGTACTCAATCGATAGAAAAAATGGACTTCTAAAGAAATAGCTATGAGTTTGGTCGACTGGAACAATGGAATTAGCCGAAAATAGGGCTCAAAGTGGGCGAAATCACCGATTTGTAAATATCGCTGAGGTCGCTAACTTTGCGAGAGCATAATTCCATCAGTTTTCCATCAAATTTCATTTTTTTTTGGTGTCATTACAATCGGGAAAAGATTCTCTATCATTTCATAAGAAAAAATAATTTTTTTTTTTTTTAAATTTTGCGACACCAGGAGACACCTCAGGATTTGGGGTTGCGACAGTCAAAGGGTTAAACAACTATAGGCCAATATCAAACTTACCATTGCTATCCAAAATCTTTGAGAAACTCGTGCACAGGAGACTATATTCATTTATAACGTCACAAAACATACTGCCAATTTGGATTCAGGAAAAATAAAAGCACTAACATGCAATTATAAAAATGCTAGATCTGCTTGACACAGCATTGGAAAATAAGGAATATCCACTAGGAATTTTTATTGACCTAAGAAAAGCTTTTGACACAGTAGACCACTGCATCCTACTCCACAAACTTGACCATTATGGTATAAGAGGCCATGCGCTTGCATATTTCAAATCTTACCTTACGAATAGGTATCAGTATGTCACCATTAAAGACACAGCATCAACAACACAGCCACTTGATACTGGAGTTCCGCAGGGAAGTGTCCTTGGTCCCCTGCTCTTCCTCATATACATCAATGATCTTCCAAACGTATCTCGACACCTGAACCCCATTCTCTTTGCTGACGACACGACTTATGTCATCTCTCACCCTAATCTTGCAACCCTCAACATCATTGTTAATGAGGAGCTGATCAAAATATCGACTTGGATGACAGCCAATAAACTTACACTTAACGTTGACATTATGTTTGGTAGCAGAGCAGGAGATGCGTAAATTAACATTAAGATCGACAACACTCTAATTACCAGGCATAATGAGGGCAAATTCCTAGGCCTATACCTCAACAACAACCTGAACTTCAGCACCCATATCCAACACATAACCAAAAAAGTATCCAAAACGGTTGAGATCCTCTCCAAGATACGATACTACGTGCCGCAAACTGCCCTTCTCACACTATACCATTCACTTATATATCCATACCTCACCTATGCTATCTGTGCTTGGGGTTCAACTGCAGCAACACACCTAAAGCCAATAATAACCCAACAAAAAGCCGCAGTAAGAATAATCACTAAATCCCATCCCTGGCAACACACCCCCCCCACTCTTCATAGATCTAAACTTACTCCCTGTTCAGTACATCCACACTTACTACTGTGCAATCTACATCTACAGGACCTTAAATTCCAATATTAACCTTGACCTAAAATGCTTTCTTGATAGTTGTGACAGAACCCACAGGCACAACACCAGACACAAACATCTCTATGACATTCCCCGTGTCCGACTAAACCTTTACAAAAATTCAATGTATGTCAAAGGCCCTAAAATCTGGAACACCCTACCTGAAAATTCCAAAACTGCAGACACATTCATCACCTTCAAAACTACCATCAGAAAACATCTTATCTCCCTGATACACCCTGTCAACTAATAATACGAATACCACCTGGTGGTTCACACTTACAGTCACTCACCCATTTGACCATAAACAGAAATACCAATCTCAATCTCAAAATAATGAATCTTGAACTAGTCAAAAGTTGGCCTGTGATACTCCAATACTGAAACTATGTATAGTGCCAAAACAAAAGCATTCACATTGCTAAACTCACAACTAGTATTTAGTCACTTAGCCATAATACCAACTTATCTCATAATTCTGTAACATTTTAAACCTAAGATTTAATATAAGCCTGCCCGAAATGCCTAGCCATGCTAGGCGTTCTAGTGGTACACTCTGTAATTATTATTTTACTACATGTAAACCACACAATAACCAAATTCTGTAAACTCAGCATTGTAATACTTATAGAGAATAAAGTTTGAATTGAATTGAATGAGACCAAAGAATGTTTCGAGTGCCAGCCCTTTGATGAAGAAGGTGAGAAACACGATAGAATTCAAGAAAGAACTTGTAGCAAAGTATAAAAGTGGTGTACACATGTTTATATGCTATGTAATGTGTTTCTTATATAATTTCGAAGAAAATATCATAGATGGATTAATGAAAATGTCCATATTAGCATAAAATAAGACATTTAATGTGCCCAAGAGTGATTATTATTAGTATTACGTAGTGTTTTCTCTCCGCCCGGCAGCCACACCTCCATAGCATATAAACATAGCATGTTTATATACCAGGCGAAGGGAAAACATTATGTTTTCTTTGGTCCAGCACCAAAGAAAACGTGTATGAATGTGCTTTTGGCCCAGTCACTCCCGCTTTTGTTTACAATTCTTAGCATGAATTATTCATTACTTCTCCCTTCATTTATGATGGCATCTAAAGGTAGTAGTTGTTAGAAACGATTAAATTCAGTGAACAAGGTATGTTAATGGTAATAATATGGCTCTGGGCTGCAGTTTAAGTAGCTGGTAGGTGTAGCCCAGGCTACACCTACCGGCTACCTGCACTGACTTCCCACAAATACGTAAATACTACTCACCTCTTGTCGAACATTAAGACGGATTAATTGGATTTACATTATTTCTTACGGAAAATGTTGCTGCAGTTTTCATAGGATTCAGTTTTCGTCAGACTTTATCGAACAGATTAATCGTGAAAACCAAGGTTCCACTGTGCAATGTTTGTGCGAAGGTGAATGACATTTTGGTATACATTCAAAAAGCCCCTTAATATGCAGAGCATTTCAGGCAAACTTCAGAGTGACTTAAGATTAATAAGGCGATATGAATAATTGTATACAGTCACTTGGGTGAGTGTAAGTATAAATTTAGGAGTTACAGTGAATACAAGAGAATTGAATATCTTATTAGTTCATGCTATATGGGTATTATCAAGTTTAATTGGTAAGGTATTACAGGTTTGGTTATTAACCTAAAGAGGACACAATTTTTTAATGTTTGGGAGAATTACAGATACTGAGAGATTATATTGTTTTACGTCTGTTCGGGACGTTGAGAATGTGGGTATGTAGTTTTCATATACAGTAATGCCCTGGTATCTGCAGGGGATACCTTCCAAGACCTACCGTGGATAACCGAGACCATGGATAGTAGCGAACCTTACATATAAGTCATTTTTCATTTGCGTACATACCTACGATAAAGTTTAATTGATAAATTAGGCACAAAAAGTCAAGAATCATCACTTTTCCACGGATGGGAAGCACTACACAGCTTCTCTTAGGCTTTGAAGAACTACCACCATCACTACGTTTGCACATTTGGGTCATTATTAAGCAAAATTAAGAGTTGTTTGAAGGGTTATTTTTGGGTCACAGTAAACCGTGGATACAGAATCCATGGATACAAAATCTGTGGATACGGGGGTCCTTTTGTATTTAGCTGATGCTATGTTTGGGAGAAAAGATGTTTTTTAATAGTAGTTTTGAAGATACTACTGGCTGAGACAGTGGCTCTGGAGATTTCCAGCAGAGAGTTCCAGATTTTGGGCCCATTTATGTGCACTGAATTTTTGAAGAGATTTAACTGGACACGGGGAATGTCAGAGATTTTTGTGCCATGTATTGTGTGTGTGTGAGTCCTGTTGCAAATATCAAGAAAGTGCTTCAGGTTGGGATTAATGTTAGAATTTATTGTTTTTAATGTTAGAATTTATTGTTCTTAATGTTAGAATTTATTGTTCTTAACCCTTAAACTGTCCAAACGTAGATCCACATTTGCACGCATAGCGCTCCGAACGTAGATCTACTATTTTTTTTACATTGTTTCTTATGGAGAAAATTAAGGTCGGAGCGCTACGCGCACAAACATAAATCTACGTTTGAACAGTTTAAGGGTTAATGTTAGAATTTATTGTTCTTAATGTTAGAATTTGTTAGAATATATTATTTTTTTTAATTCACAGAATGTAATACTATATTATTTTGTTAGATTTACAAACTATAGCATTTTTTTTATTTTACAAAATGGAGTATTTTGTCTGATTTACGAATTTTAATATTTATATACTTTTGTTTCTTGAAACAACATACTGAAAAATTTCTTAATTGCAGATGATTACTGGCACAGCAGAAAACACAATGAGTCATTAAGATGAGAGGGACAGTGTGGATTGAGTGTCATGCATGCGTCTCATGGGTGTGATCACGTGCTCAGACCTCATGAACCCCTCCGCCAATGTTACCTATACACACAAGAAGTTCAAAAGGGCCCCAATCGAGGCCTGTGACACTGTGGAAAAGCAGCAACAGCCCCACCACGACGAGAATGGAAGGAGCAGCAAGACGGCATCCTCGACGGTACTTGTGAGATCAAACAAAGCATCAGTGTTAGGGGCTCCGTCGCCCATTAATGGTTTCCTCTCCACGCCGGTGGCGAATAATTTCTCCGGAAGTGGCGTTCAGTTCTCCTTGGAATCTGACGACAGTAAAAAGAAAAATGGAAATAGTGGTGGCAAGTACAAATGTGAGTATTGTGGGGTGGGGTGTGCTAAACCCTCAGTGTTGGACAAACACATCCGCACCCACACCAACGAGCGGCCGTATAGCTGCGAACAATGTAGCGTAGCCTTTAAAACCAAGAGTAACTATTTGAAACATACCAGATCCCGAGCCCATGCCCTTAGGTGTGATGGCGGGGGTCAGGACGGCAGTGACGGGACGGTAGAATCCAGCGACAATCTTGACATAGAGGGAGATGAAGGCTCCCGCTGCCCCAGTCGAGAAACTGGGCAGCAGTGCCAACCTGCTGACCTTTCTGTGGGTCATGTTTCCACCCTGGAGCAGCCAGCGAGCATCACTGCTACCTCCTCGGCCGCCAGAATATATCAAGAAGATGGCAAAGATCGAGGCAATTTTATATACAAGCCCAAGTTCCGCGTTTGTGCTCAGTATTCACCCCAGGAGGAGAGCGGGCCTAAGAGACAGTCTCCTCCAATACAAAGACAGTTGTCAACCCCACCTCAGGATGTCACTACATTTGACAGTAATGTCATCAACACTCCGACATATCAAGTGCTTGCTGCCTCTACCCTCAGTCACCCTGGCCAGGGTGCTCACTCCAGTCCCAGGCCTCACTCCCCAAATCCTTCCAGCGTTCCTAAGCAATGCCTTCCTCCACTAGATATTCGGGCGGCCAACAGGAAGGATGATGGAGCGACATCTGCTCAGCGGAACTCTGTGGTGGCCTCTCAGACTGTAAGTTCTCTGTGGAAAGGGATGAAGTCTCCTAGTCCAGATTTAGTCGGGCAACATATCACTAAATTGATTGTTGAAAATCAAGCCATCGTGGAGACCCACAACCCGCTGTGGTCTCGGCGTTACAGGCGCCAGAACAGCCTCGGCTCTTCATCAAGCGAGAGCGACGGGTCCGGCAGCGGTAAAAGTCGAAGATACAATCTTGCAGATTCAAATTTAAAAAATGTTAAATCTGCTTCTGTAACCCTTCCTGCTTGTTCAGGGCCTGTGCAGCCATACTCCCGTGAGAGAAGTCATTCCCTCGCTGCTGAACCCATCATGGTTGAGGCACGGTCTTCGTACAGTCCCAGTCTTCCACCCACCCCACATCTGCCTCTTGCTCAGCCGCCTCCAGTAGCCACCCCAATCAGTGCTTCCAAACCTTCCATATCATCACAAGGACCTACTACCTCTTATTCTCAGTCTGCCCCAACCTTCACTGCCTCCCATGTGACTATGGTTGACTTCAACATGTCTGATGCATCACGCAAGCGGTGCATCTCTGAGGGCCCTTGTGTTGCTCGAGACTTATCAAAGAGTCGATTAATGCCTCTCGACGATCCACCTCTTCTACAGCAGCATCCACAAAACCCTGAGGGATCAGTTATCAAAAACCTTCTCTTAACTGCCCGTGCTGGCATTGCAAATGCTATTGACCAAAACTTAGAGAGACAGGAACATAGCAGGAGGTGCAGCCAGGCTGTTACACTGGGTGACATTGGCTCTCTCACGTGTTTAAGATGTAGAATACCTTTTCGAAATCCTGAGGACCTGGAATACCATCTTCGCCATTACTGTGGACAGAGACCAAGCACTGGAAGCGAAAGAGGGACTCCAGACTCAATCAAGAGTAGTGATGGGGGACGTTGGTCGGGGGAGAAAGAAGCAGCTCTGGATCTGCAGAAAAAAAACGAGTATGTGGACCAACACGACCGTGAGCGTTCATCATCAAGAGGATCATCAGTTGGGGAAACGCCACAAAGACGAGGCTCGGAGGACGATTTTAAATACCACTCTGACCTCTCACCGAAGGTATACAGGAGTAAATCGGCTCCAGAGGGCGCTCCACCCCCTACTAAGAAAAGAAAAATGTCTGATATTGATTCTGTGGCACAGGAAAGATCCAGGTATTTCTCATCAACATTTTCTAAGGGACAAGGGGGGAATAAAAATGAGTCTTGTATAAAATTAATGGATGACATAAATAAACAAAAACTCAATAACCATCACCTCTTTGGTGGGGAAGTTCAAATCTGCGACGGAAATGAATTCAAAACCATGAGGATAGATCCCGGCCAACACCCGAGTCCAGCCATTGATATCTGCATCCCCCCACAGCAACTGGGTGGCAGTATCCCCAAAGCAGAAGTATCCGTTCCAACATCAGTGGTGGTGACTATTGCCAAGTCAGGTCTCAACTCCGGCGGAACGATGGTTCAGGTAGAGAATCAGACAAGCACATCGTCTACCAAAACTATTCCAACCTTAGTGAATTCATCATTGAACCGTGAACAGTCTGTTCTTTCACAGAACATGGCAAAGGCAGCTCATCCTCCAGATGTGTATAATACAGATACCAGCCAGTTTGCATATTCACCATCATTTTTACAATACGCTCCGCCTCTCCAGCTGCCCAACCTGGCCATTCCTGGAATTCCAACTCCCGATTTGGGAGGCCTGTCCTTTTCTGGCTATTCTCCTCGTGTCCCTGGCCAAGCATTTCTTCATAGTCAGGCATCCCTCATGCACGGGATGCTGGGAAATCACAAATCGACTAGTGTGCGATCCCCGGTAGCATCTAGGGCTTCTCCACGAAGCTTTCCAGCAAGTGCAGCAGGTGGAATGTTGAATTCGGGAACTACGGGGGGAATATCAGGAGGTTCATCAAGTTCTGGAGGTTCGGGAGGACTCTCTGGAGGTTCGTCAAGTTCTGGAGGTACTCGTGGAGGTGTGAGTGATGCTACTGTAGAAGATGCTGCTGGGGGATCTCAAACCTTTTTAGTTAAAGAGAAGGAAAGAGAGCAGCAGAAGAGGCAGGGCAAGTTGCCGTCTGCTGGGTATCCCTCCCTCATACCCGTTGGGGATGAGAAGGTCCCTTATGTGCCAGGGATCCCAGGACCCTATTCCCAGGGCAGTGTGTTGCATCCTCCAGCTCACACCGTGCAGAGAAGCCCATTGATAGCAGTCGCTCCTGTCTCGGCACCTGTGCCATCAACTGCACCTGTCTCCTCTGTTCCATCTCTTCCAGCTTTAATATGCCCATCTAGGGAGAAGAACCTGACAGTACCTAAGTTAAAAGAGGTACCCAGAGACCTCACAAGCAGCCCAATGAGGGAGTGTGGTCACTCGCTGTCTAGTAATGTCAAGGTCTCTCATCGTCTCTCTCCAAGAATGTCATCAGTTATTGGGAAAGCTCCCGAAGTTCGATCCATTAACCCGGAGATACGAATTCATCCGGTAAAGTCGGATGCAGCGCCAGAGATGAAGACTTCGGAAAGGCTTGTGACTCCTCACGAAGAGCAGAGTTACGACAATGGCTCAAAAGACGACTCGTCTGACTCTGAAGAATTCCTGCCGCCTCGGAAACGTCCAAACTTTTTGGCACTAAAACCTCAAGCGTATATGCCGAAATCTTCTCTAGCATTGATTGGGACAACCCTAGTCAGTCCTGACACCCCACGACCTAAGAAAAGTTGTGTACAAATGCTTCTGAATGGATCAGCCTATACTTATTTAGGACACAAAGTCTCTACAAAGTCATATTTTTGTTGCATTTATAGACAACAGCCAATGTATGTACCTCAGTCTACTGACCCTAAGCTGTCTATGTACTCTAATTGGCAGATTAGAAAGCCAGCAGATGACAATCCTTTCAAATTGACGCCATATCAGGGTATGGGGCTCTACGAGTCGAGAAAATACGACCCAGCTTATACAATTGCAAAGCCTAAAGAGTTAGACTTAATTCAGACTCATTCATCGTACTGGACATTTAAGCAAGAGAAAGAGAAAGATAAAGAAGTGGAAGAAATAAAATCAAAGGAGAAAGATGGGAAGGATATCAAAAGCGAAGAGTCCTGTAGTAAAGTGTGTGAGCAAAGCTGCAGCGAAGGCAGCAGTGCCTCGGTGAAGCGCGAGAGTGATGATGACAGCGTAGGCTCTCCTTGTAAGGTCACCGACGAGGCTGAGGGCTCAGATAGCGGTTCGGCCAAGCGGATCAAAATTTTTGAAGGGGGCTTTAAGAGCAGTGAAGACTACACGTACGTCAGGGGTCGTGGCAGGGGCAGGTACGTGTGTGAGGCATGTGGGATTCGCTGCAAGAAACCCTCTATGCTCAAAAAACACATCCGTACACACACCGACCTGCGACCCTACGCTTGTGGTCACTGTTCTTTTAGGTAAGTCTTGTATAATTAGCATCTGTAGTTATTTTTTTAATACACCAGCTGTCTTCCACCGAGGCATTGAGTAATTTATACAGGAGGTGTTACTAGCTCCTTGTTACTGGCATTTAGTACAGTGGACCCCCGCATAACGATCACCTCCGAATGCGACCAATTATGTAAGTGTATTTATGTAAGTGCGTTTGAACGTGTATGTTTGGGGGTCTGAAATGGACTAATCTACTTCACAATATTCCTTATGGGAACAAATTCGGTCAGTACTGGAGTGAAAAAAATATCGTTAACTGGGGGTCCACTGTATTTTATACAGGAAAAAATGAAAATGAAAAAGTTTGTTTTCATTTTAAGTTTACAATTTGTGGTTTACACGTTATAAAATATTAATTACAAAGAAGGCCACTAGCATGCCTCGGCATTTCGGGCAGACTAATACTGATTCTTACTATATATTAAAGGGGTTACTAGCCCCTTGGTCCCGGTATGTTAGTTGCCTCTTACGATACGCATGACTTACGGAGGAAGAATTCTGTTCCACTTCCCCATGGAGATAAGAGGAAATAAACAAGAACAAGAATTATGAAGAAAATCGAAGAAAACTCAGATGGGTGTGTATGTGTATACAGCCTCTCCTCACTTAACAACGGAGTTCCGTTCCTGAGACTACGTCATTAAACGAATTCGTAGCTAAGTGAGGATCATACTATAATGGTAGTGAGTTTGTGTCAACCATCTTTGATATTGTTTTAATGTCACCTTTGTACCATTTATAACATTTCTGGTATATATATACAGTAGTGTACTGTATATTGTAATAAACAGAAGAGACAAAATCAGCTCTAATATACATTATTTAGGTATGAATACTGGTCAGAGAGCCCGTCGTAAGTCTGAGGCGTCGGTAAACGAGTACATCACTAAGTGAGGAGAGGCTGTATACACAAGTACAATTATTATAATAATTATTGTTATTATTATTTGGGGAGCTGATATATTTTTTTGAGTTTTTACTATTTCTCGATCCCTCAACACCACTCCTGAGTATTGACTATATAAATAAATTTTTTTATTGTTTATACAGTACGAAAATAAAGTAGTCGACGAGTAATAAAGTATTGTTAGGCACAAAATAAAGTTGCTGGTGGGCAGTGTATTTTGGGTCAGTTAATGTATCACAAAAACCTGATGCAATAAGCTGAGGGTTTTGAGAGAGTTTGGGAAGCCAGTGGAAGGTCTCGGTCAGATGACTAAAAACTCCAGCTGTGGATCATTGTATGACTAAGACCTGCATCAGGAAACACTCGACTTGTGTCTGACAAACCTTACCTAACCTAGCCTAACACTTGTCCTGTTTCCTGACAAATATTACGAACATCAAACTGTAATGTAGACATGCCTCTGGCAAGACAGGGTTGGTGTGAGTGATGGTGAAAGTGTTTCTTCATTTTTGGGTCACCCTGCCTTGGTGGGTGATGGCTGATGTGTCAAAAAAAAAAATTTGCTAAATGCTTACATTAATTTACATATATGATTTTTAAAATGACCAGCTATCTTATTAAGCTTCTCTGTATAGTGTGATGTTTTGTATATGCTAAAAAGCGCATTCAAAATTTAATAGTGCAGGCCATGAAGGGCTATCCACGTATGGTTCACTTCTGGAGTTACTTACTCAATCATATTTTGAAAAAATGGCACCATTGTCGAGGTGCTTGCCTGAAGTATACCTGGAGTATACCTGGGGTATACCTTGGGTATACATGGAGGGTGTTTCGGGGGTCAATGCCTCTGCGACCCACTCCATGACCAGGCCTCCTGGTGCATCATGAAAAACCTGACTCTGTACTATTATTTAAGAGATTACTTTGCAGTTTCTACATAAAAAAATCTATACACATTGACTTGCAGCTTCAAGACGAAGGGGAACCTGACCAAACACCTGAGATCGAAGGCGCACTACAAGCGGTGTGTGGAGATGGGCATTGTACCAGTGCCGACGGTGGTCGATGAAAGTCACGTCAACGAGGAGGCTCTGGCGCTGCAGGTGTGTAGACCTTGTATCTGCAGGTGTGTGGACCTTATATCTGCAGGTGTGTAGACCTTTTATCTGCAGGTGTGTGGACCTTGTATCTGCAGGTGTATAGACATTATATCTGAAGGTGTATAGATCCTATATCTGCAGGTGTGTAGAGAGTGTATATCTGCGACATGTCTATCAAGACACTACCTCCAGTCTAATTGTAAAATCACAAATGCAATATAATGCGACTCTGTATTGACTACATTTAGCCCACACAGATGGGCTTTATCAAGTCACAAATTATATACCTGGATGAATAGCACATGAGTATATATAGTGTGAAGAGTCAAGCGAATAATGTTGGGTAGGTTGGGTTTGAGATGGTCCTGTAAGGGGCTGTAGATCGCTCACATGTTCGTCTTAGTCGTTTGTGCAGAAAGCCCATAGTTATCCAGAGCATTTCATTAAACTTAGGTCTAACTTAAGCCTACAATGGCAGTATCTAAGTAATTGCTTATATATAAGGACAATAAGGGTTTATAACTAGCAGATATATGAATTACAAAGAGAAGATACAAGCAGACAGTTATTACTTAACCCTTTCAGGGTCCGTCCCGTAGATCTACGGCTTTACGGTGAGTGTCCAAACCGTAGATCTACGCCATGAGCTCAGCTCACTCTGATAAACTGTGAGTGGTACATTTGGGCCTAGATATGAGAGAATACATCTATGTGGTATGTGTGCACCACATAAAACAGATCCTGCAGCACGCTGTGTATAATGAGAGTAAAAAAATGAAATCATGATTTTTCGATTAAAACAGCAACTTTGCAGTGTTTTTTCGTATGTTTTTTATAGTTGTATTTGCGATTTCTTGGTCTCATTTGATAGAATGGAAGACATATTACAGAAATAGAGATGATTTTGATTGGTTTTAGCACTGGAAATGGCTTGAAACTGAGCTCAAAGTAGCGGAAATGTTAAATTTTTGCCGATATTCAAGAGTAAACAAACGACCTCACACGTCTAATACACGTCAGCTGGTGGGTCTAATATACATTCACAAATATGGTGATGATATTTATACAATTATTACATATTGCATAACAGTAAATCTTCTATTTTTTGGTGTGAATAAAAATTCATTATGTGAATAAAAAATCAAAATGAAATTTATTTGTAAAGCCTCAAAACATAACTAATGAACAGAGGAAATGTTAGTTTAGTGCCAGGAATGCCTACATTGTTTATTCTGGACCCTATTTTGAAATTGGAATATTTTGAACTTTGTGTTAAATTGGCCAAATTAACAATTTCCGATCACTTTATTTTGTAGTTGAAACAGTTGACTTGGCGATTTCTTGTGCTCAATCGATAGAATAGAAGTAATACTAGTGAAATAGCTAAGAATTTGGTTGATTGGAATAATGTAATTGGCCTAAAATGGGAGTCAAAGTCAGCAAAATCGCCGATTCGTAAATGTCGCTGACACATCAAAATTCGCGAGAGCATAATTTCGTCAATTTTCCACCAAATTTCGTACTTTTTGTTTTATTACCTTCACAAAAAGATTCTCTACGATTTCATAAGAAAAAATAACAAATTTTTCTTTTGAAAATTCTTGGACACTGGTGCGTGACTCCAGATTTGGGCCTTGGAGCCTGAAAGGGTTAAGGTTGGATTATGTAATTGCAATTAGTGAGAATGAGAATATATAGTTTTAATATATTTGTAGAATTGTTTACCATATTTAACTTTTTTTTTTTTTTTTTAACAAGTCGGCCGTCTCCTACCAAGGCAGGGTGACCCAAAAAGAAAGAAAATCCCCAAAAAGAAAATACTTGTATAATCATTCAACGCTTTCACCTCACTCACACATAATCACAGTTTTTGCAGAGGTGCTCAGAACACAACAGTTTAGAAGCATATACATATAAAGATACACAACATATCCCTCCAAACTGCCAATATCCCAAACCCCTCCTTTAGAGTGCAGGCATTGTACTTCCCATTTCCAGGACTCAAGTCCGGCTATATAAAAATAACCGGTTTCCCTGAATCCCTTCACTAAATATTAGCCTGCTCACACTCCAACAGATCATCAGTCCCCAAATACTATTTGTCCCCATTCACTCCTATCGAACACACCCATGCACCCCTGCTGGAAGTCCAAGCCCCTCGGCCACAAAACCTCCCTTACCCCTTCCAACCTTTTCGAGGATGACCCCTACCCCGCCTTCCTTCCCCTACAGATTTATACGCTCTCCATGTCATTCTACTTTGATCCATTCTCTCTAAATGACCAAACCACCTCAACAACCCTTCTTCAGCCCTCTGACTAATACTTTTATTAACTCCACACCTTCTCCTAATTTCCACACTCCGAATTTTCTGCATAATATTTACACCACACATTGCCCTTAGACAGGACATCTCCACTGCCTCCAACCGCCTCCTCGCTGCTGCATTCACAACCCAAGCTTCACACCCATATAAGAGTGTTGGTACTACTATACTTTCTTACATTCCCTTCTTTGCCTCCATAGATAACGTTTTTTTGTTTCCACATATACCTCAACGCACCACTCACCTTTTTTCCCTCATCAATTCTATGATTAACCTCATCCTTCATAAATCCATCCACCGACACATCAACTCCCAAGGATCTGAAAACATTTATTTCTTCCATACTCCTCCTCCCCAATTTGATATCCAATTTTTCTTTGTCTAAATCATTTGATACCCTCATCACCTTACTCTTTTCTATGTTCACTTTCAACTTTCTACCTTTACACACATTACCAAACTCATCCACTAACCTTTGCAATTTTTCTTTAGAATCTCCCATAAGCACAGTATCATCAGCAAAAAGCAACTGTGTCAATTCCCATTTTGTATTTGATTCCCCATAATTTAATCTCAACCCTCTCCCGAACACCCTAGCATTTACTTCTTTTACAACCCCTTCTATAAATATATTAAACAACCATGGTGACATTACACATCCCTGTCTAAGACCTACTTTTACCGGGAAGTAGTCTCCCTGTCTCCTAAACACCCTAACCTGAGCCTCACTATCCTCATAAAAACTCTTTACAGCATTTAGTAACTTACCACCTATTCCATATACAGTACTTGCAACATCTGTCACATTGCTCCCCTATCCACTCTATCATATGCCTTTTCTAAATCCATAAATGTAATAAAAACTTCCCTACCTTTATCTAAATACTGTTCACATATATGCTTCAATGTAAACACTTGATCAATACATCCCCTACCCACTCTGAAACCTCCTTGCTCATCTGCAATCCTACATTCTGTCTTACCTCTAATTCTTTCAATTATAACCCTACCGTGCACTTTTCCTGGTATACTCAGTAAACTTATTCCTCTATAATTTTTACAATCTCTTTTGTCCCCCTTCCCTTTATATAAAGGGGCTATACATGCTCTCTGCCAGTCCCTAGGTACCTTCCTCTCTTTCATACATTTATTAAACAAAAATACCAACCACTCCAACACTATATCCCCCTCTACTTTTAACATTTCTGTCATGATCTCGTCAGTTCCAGCTGCTTTACCCCCTTTCATTCTACGTAATGCCTCATGCACCTCCTCCACACTCACATCCTGTTCTTCTTCACTCCTAAAAGATGGTATACCTCCCTGGCCAGTGCTTGAAATTACCACTTCCCTTTCTTCGTCGACATTTAAAAGTTCCTCAAAATATTCTCGCTATCTACCCAATACCTCCATCTCCCCATCTACTAACTCCTCTACTCTGTTTTTAACTGACAAATCTATTCGTTCTCTAGGCTTTCTTAACTTGTTTAACTCACTCCAAAATTTTTTCTTATTTTCATTAAAATTTCCTGACAGTGCCTCTCCCACTCTGTCATCTGCTCTCCTTTTGCACTCTCTCACCACTCTCTTCACCTTTCTTTTACTCTCCATATACTCTACTCTTCTTATAACACTTCTGCTTTGTAAAAACCTCTCATAAGCTAACTTTTTCTCTTTTATCACACCCTTTACTTCATCATTCCAACAATCACTCCTCTTTCCTCCTGCACCCACCCTCCTATAACCACAAACTTCTGCCCCACATTCTAATATGTGTACTGCATTTTTAAAACTATTCCAACCCTCTTCAACCCCCTCCCCCCCACTACTTATACATGCACCAGCCCACCTTTCTGCCAATAGTTCCTTATATCTCACCCGAACTTCCTCCTCCCTTAGTTTATACATTTTCACCTCCCTCTTGCTTGTTGTTGCCATTTTCCTCTTTTCCCATCTACCTCTTACTCTAACTGTAGCTACAGCTAAATAATGATCCGATATATCAGTTGCCCCTCTAAACGTGTACATCCTGGAGCCTACCCATCAACCTTTTATCTGCCAATAGATAATCTAACAAACTACTTTCATTATGTGCTATATCATACCTTGTATATTTATTTATCCTCGTCTTCATAAAATATGTATTACTTATTACCAAACCTCTTTCTACACATAGCTCAATTAAAGGCTTCCCATTTTCATTTACCCCTGGCACCCCAAATTTACCTACTACTCCCTCCACAACATTTTTACCCACTTTACCATTGAAATCCCCAACCACAAGTACTCTCACACTTGGTTCAAAACTCCCCACGCATTCACTCAACATTTCCCAAAATCTCTCTCTCCTCTACACTTCTCTCTTCTCCAGGTGCATATATGTTTACTATAACCCACTTTTCACATCCAACCTTTATTTTACTCAACATAATCCTTGATTTAATACATTTATAGTCCCTCTTTTCCTGCCATAACTTATCATTCAACATTATTGCTACTCCTTCTCTAGCTCTATTTGAAACCCCTGACCTAATCCCATTTATTCCTCTCCATTGAAACTCTCCCACCCCCTTCAGCTTTGTTTCACTTAAAGCCAGGACATCCGCTTCTTCTCATTCATAACATCCACAATCATCTCTTTCTTATCATCTGCACAACATCCACACACATTCAGTCTTCCCACTTTGACAATTTTCTTCTTCTTATTCTTTTTAGTAATCTTTACAGGAAAAGGGGTTACTAGCCCATTGTTCCCGGCATTTTAGTTGGCTTTTACAACACGCATGGCTTACGGAGGAAAGATTCTTATTCCACTTCCCCATGGATATAAAAGGAAAAGTAATAAGACCAAGAACTATTAAGATAAAATCAAAGAAAACTCAGATGAGTGTGTATAAATAAACATGTACATGTATGTGTAGTGTGACCTAAGTGTAAGTAGAAGTAGCAAGACGTACCTGTAATCTTGCATATTTATGAGACAGACAAAAGACACCAGCAATCCTACCATCATGTAAAACAATTACAGGATTCTTTTGTACACTCACTTGGCAGGACAGTAGTACCCCCCTGGGTGGTTGCTGTCTACCAACCTACTACCTATATTTAACATGTTTAACATATTGTATTGAATTGTTATTAAGACATGTTAGGGAAAGAAAGCGTTACAGTAGTTTTGAAGCAGCTGATAGAGAGGCTCTGAGATTTCATGTTGTGAGTTCCAGATTTTACCCTTTTATGTACAGTAAGTCCTTGACTTACTTCTGTACTGTGTATTATATCATTATTGTGTATAATATTACAGCCTCTCCTCACTTAACAATGGAGTTCCGTTCCTAAGACTACGTTGTTAGACGAATTTGTGGCTCAGTGAGGATCATACTATAATGGTAGTGAGTTTGTGTCGGCCATCTTTGATATTGTTTTAATGTCACCTTTGCACCATTTATAACATTTCTGGTATATTTTTAAATGTTTATACAGTAGTGTACTGTATATTGAAATAAACAAGAGAGGAAATCAGCTTTACTACAGTGGACCCCCGCATAACGATCACCTCCGAAGGCGACCAATTATGTAAGTGTATTTATGTAAGTGCGTTTGTACGTGTATGTTTGGGGGTCTGAAATGGACTAATCTACTTCACAATATTCCTTATGGGAACAAATTCGGTCAGTACTGGCACCTGAACATACTTCTGGAGTGAAAAAATATCGTTAACCGGGGGTCCACTGTATACAGTGGAACCTCAAATATCGAACTTAATCCGTTCCAGGAGCTAGTTCTAAATTCGAAAAGTCTGAAAAGCGAAGCAATATTTCCCATAAGAAATAATGGAAATACAATTAATCCGTTCCAGAAACCCAAAAATATTTACAAAAAAATACATTTTATAGAGATTAATTACAGTTTGACATACACACAACAAATACTATAGTGTTTAATTATGTATACAAATATAAAATAACATTTTTACTTACCTTTATTGAAGATTGGTGATGGCATCTGGAAGATAGGGAGAGGAGAGAGGGAGTTGGGGTTAGTGTTTGGAAGGAGAATCCCCCTCCATGAGGACTTCAGGTAAAGCCCTCTCTGGGGTTACTTCCCTTCTCTGTCTTTTAATGCCACTAGGACCAGCTTGAGAGTCACTGGACCCCTGTCTCACAAAATAACTGTCCACAGTCCTCTGTTTCTTTGGTGCTTCTTTAACATTTCCCTAAAATGGGACATGGTTCTGTCACTGAACTTGTTGCAAAGATGGCTTGTTTCAGCTTGCTCAGGGTGGTACTTCTGCACAAACATTTGACATCATTCCACTTGGCACAAATCTCCTTAATCTTTGGAGAAGGCACCTCATCCACTCCCTCTTCCTCCTCCTCCTCCTCTCTGAAGCAAGGTCCTCAGCTGTGGTCTGATACTGCTTTCCAGATGAAGCTCTTGCAGCTCTTCAGTGGTTAGCTCTTCCCTGTGGTCCTCCAACTCTTCCACATCCTCGCCACTCACCTCCAGCCCCAGGGTGTTTCCCCAATGCCACAACAGGCAGAGGGTCAGCTGGGTCAGAGACAGGGTCAGGGTCAGCCTCAAACCATTCAAAATCTCTCTGGAGGACACAATCTGGCCACAATTGTCTCCAAGCAGAGTTCAAAGTCCTGGAAGTCACTCCCTCCCAAGCCTTACCTATAAGGCTTGTGCAGTTGTAGATACTGAAGTGATTCCTCCAGAACTCTCTTAGGGTCAACTGAGTGTCTGAGGTCACTTCAAAGCACTTTTCAAACACTGCTTTTGTGTAGAGTTTTTTGAGGTTAGAAATGACCTGCTGGTCCATGGGCTGGAGGAGAGGAGTGGTGTTAGGAGGCAAGAACTCCACTGTTATAAAACTGAAGTCCCTAGACAAGAGGTCTAATAAGTTTGGAGGATGAGCAGGAGCATTGTCCATTAACAGGAGGCACTTGAGTGCCAAATTATTGTCTAGGAGGTATTTTCTCACACTGGGACCAAACACTTCATGGATCCACTCTTTGAAAATTTGCCTTGTGACCCATGCTTTATTATTTGCTTTCCACAAGACACATAACTTGTTCTTTATGACACTGTTTTTCTTAAACACTCTGGGATTTTCTGAATGATACACAAGTAAAGCTTCACTTTAAAATCCCCACTAGTGTTAGCACAGAATAAAAGAGTTAGCCTGTCTTTCATAGGCTTGTGTCCTGGCAGTGCCTTTTCCTCCAAAGTAATGTAGGTCATCTTTGGCATTTTCTTCCAAAACACGCCTGTTTCATCACAATTGAACACTTGTTGGGGTTGGAATTTTTCAGTGTTTATGTACCTCTTAAACTCCTTCACAAACATCTCAGCTGCCCGTTTGTCTGAACTGGCAGCCTCGCCATGCCTTAAAACATTGTGTATGCCACTATGCTTCTTAAATCTGTCAAACCAGCCTCTTCTGGCCTTAAATTCACTATCAGCACTGGTTCCAGGAGTTTTCTGTACCAGATCAGCATGCAACTTCCTTGCCTTTTCACAAACAATGGTCTCTGAAACACTATCACCTGCCATCTCTTTATCCTTGATCCACACCACCAACAACTTCTCAACCTGATCATCTGTCTGTGGTCTTTTTTTGGTTAGCATATTAACACCTTTCACAACATCAGCTTCCTTGATTTGCTCTCTCTTTGCCAGGATAGAACCGATGGTCGACTTGTTTTTCCCATACATCCTGGCAAGCTCAGCAAGTCTCGCATCACTCTCATGCTTCTGTATTATTTCCTTCTTCACATCTATGGTGTTTCTCACTTTCTTTACCACAGGGGTACCACTAGCAAGTTTCTTTGGGTCCATGGTAGCATATTTCACAGTCCCACAAGCACTAAACACAATGAAATAATAGTAAAATGTTTGAATGAGAGCGCAGGTTAGTGTTCACTCAAGCATCAACAAAACCAGACTGGCTCATGGCGCCTGCACGGGGATGCAGAGAGAGAGGGCTGCCGGACAGGTCCAGTACCCGACTGTTCGAAAATAGGGACAAAGTTGGTTCGAAAAAAGTGTTCGATTTTCGAAGAGTTCGATAAGTGATACGTTCAAAATTTGAGGTTCCACTGTACATTACTATTTAGGTATAAATGCTGGTCAGAGAGCCCGTCATAAGTTCAGTGTGTCAGTAAATGAGTACGTCACTAAAGAGAGGCTGTATTATACTCAGTACAGGTCCCAATGTGTTTGTAAATTGGAGACTTATGTACATTACTTGTGTTTTTAAGGGCAAGATGGAACAAGAAGGGAAGCTTGATAACCTCGATGACGATGACGAAGATGATGACGACGACGATGAAGGCGACGAGGACGACGAAGACGATGACGACGAATCTATGGGGGATGGTCACTATGAAGGTGCTCACGGCATGAACATCTACCAGAGAGATGGCACTAGTATTGAAGTGGAAGATGTAGGTGAAGTCGTGAAGGAAGTGAAAGATTGTCCCCGCAACTCCGCCACTCCTGCAGCAAGATCTGGTGTCTTGGTGATGCAACCGAGCAATCGCAGCTCATCTGATGCGCTTGGGTTACCTGAGAGCGCCAAGGAAGCCAAGTTCCCGAAAGCTACTGCTGGCGTAGAGTCGCCGCGTGACTCACCTATGGATCTAAGTGTCAAGAGAATTCCAGTCTTAAATTTTTCCCCATTGTTGGATAAAACGTCTACAGCAAAGAAAGCACCCCTTCCCAGGAGACCCTGTTTCTTGCCATTGATGAGCAGGCCAAACATCACAAGTCAGAGGTCTCCAGTTTGCAGTCTGGCATCTCCTGGCCCTCCTACGCCCATCAGAGAACATGCCTCAGAAATTCTATCTCCAGTGACAGAATCGTCGACTCTTCTCAAGACCATATACAACACCACAGAGCGGGCGTCACATGCTTCTTTTGACATGCAGAACATTGTTCCAGATCCGACTAAGGAGAATGGCTGCAGCAGCTCGATGTTGCAGGCTTACCTGAAGGAACGTGCCGTCTTAGACACGACCATTAAGCGGCACCAGTATAAGGAGTCATCGTCCTCGGATACTTCGCCAGATTCCCCGCATGGCGGTATAAAAACCATCACTGCCGTGTCATCTAGTAACACTGCGACCAGCGTGTCATCTTTGAGTACGGCAGCAGAGAATGACGAGTCTGCCCGCAAGCCAGAAGGAACGAACGATGGTGAGAAATCCAGTAAGGAAGAGAAGGATGAGGATGGTAGTGGCATAACAAGTGAAGAGAAGAGTCGCCAGTCTACGGCATCGCCCTCGGTGAGTGGCACTGCTGCTGCCACCCTCCAGTCTAACACCTCCAGGATGCCAACACCGCCGGCAAACCTCACCGTCATGAACACTGGTGGCATTGACACCAAGACTTCCTTTCTGGTGCCAAGTGGCGTTGTACCCTCCTCTCTCAACAGGTATTATTATTATTACTACTGTTATTATTTTATCATTGTTAATTATTATTATTATTTTTAATTATTGCTATCATTATCAATCATTATTATTACTGTTATTATTAATCTATTGTATTATTATCAATTATGAATTATTATAAATATTTTAGTTAGTGGGTTTGGGTTAGAGAAGGACCTGCCAAGTATGGGCCAGTAGGCCTGCTGCAGTGCTCCACCTTTCTTAAGTTTTTAATGCTACTAAATGCTCGGGTCAAACACACATAGTGTGGGAGAGGAGGCCCACTTCAGCAAGCTTCTATACGTATTTTTTGAGGCCTATTTGAAGAGTTTGTGGGGGGGATAAGCATTGATTCATTTTGCGGTAAATTGAAATTCGCAGTGTTCACATTTGCACCAAATGAGACCAGGCTGTAGTTTGTTTTCTTGCTGGGTTTCGAGAGTAGAAAAACTCTCAAAACTCATCAAAAGTACAGCCTCTCCTCACTTAACGACGGAGTTTAATTCCTAAGACCACATCGGCATGTCACCATAATTCAACATACGTTAGCCTTGCTGCCATGGTCTTCAAATATTGTCAGGTCAGCAGAGTTCAAACCCTGCTAGATGCCCTGCAGTGAGGGGTAGTCAGTCAGACACATACCCTTAGGCAGACAAGACAAGACTGCAGGCTGGGCTTCTTACTCCCTATTCTCAATATACCAGTTCACCATCTCAGTGATTATCATTTATCACCTGTACTACATTTAAGGACCCTTCCCGACAGGTAAACGAATTTGTCGCTAAGCTTGGATCATACTATAATGGTAGTGGGTTTGTGTCAACCATCTTTGATATTGTTTTAATGTCACCTTTGTACCATTTATAACATTTTTTAGTATATATTTTTAAATGTTTACACAGTAGTGTACTGTTTATTGTAATAAACAGAATAGAGGAAATCAGCTCTAATATACACATTATTTAGGTATGCAAATTGGTCAGAGAGCCCATCGTAAGTCTGAGTCATCAGTAAACGAGGACGTTTCTAAATGAGGGGAGGCTATATAACAAAAGTATATCACAGGTACATGAAAAGTATATCTCGGGAATATCAAAGGTCTGCACACATTTTATACACGGTAATAAGATTTCTTTGACACACGACAGGCTGGGTAATGATGATGGGAAGTGTAAGTGCAGTATGTGCCACAAGGAGTTCAACAAACAGTCACAGCTCAGCATGCACATGAATATCCACTACATGGAGAGGCCATACCGGTGCGAGTCTTGCGCTCTTTCCTTCAGAACCAACGGCCATCTTCAGAAACACAAACGTTCTGTCAGTCATTTTAACAAGGTAAGACGTATATCAGCACGTCGATTTTATCCACAACCCGCACACATGAATCAAATGTATTACGATGTTTCGGTCTGACTAGCCATTAACTAGTCACACAGAAGTGCAAAAGGAAGGGGGCCGGTATATACTACTACTACCTCCTCCTCTCTTTTTTACCACTCCTGACCTGCCTCTCTCTCATATACTGGCTCCTTTCTCTTCGTGCTTCTGTGTGACTAGTTACTGGTCCAATTCAAGCCAAAACATCATTGTAACTTTTGTTCTTCTGCGTGCAGGTTATTTGTGTATCGTTCCAGTCATAATATTGTGCCTTTTATTCTTTATTATAATAAAGAATAAGGTAACATAAACAGTTTACAGTAATTCTTCAACTTACAAACACATTGGGGACCCGTATTGTGTATAATAGTGATATTATACACTATACGGAAAATTCTCAATGTGTTCGTAAGTCAATGGCTGACCTGTATTGCTAGTTGACGAGTGAGAAAGACTTGTAACATCCATGGTATAACAGTAAAGGTTTTTACCTGCTCTCCAGGCTTCTACAGTCAGGTACAGAGGTAACAAACATTGTAGACAGCAGAAACAATACAAAAGTAGCAATAACACGATCAGTCTACCAGTCTTGAAGAAGTATATTCAAGGTGGTCAGTCCCATACTCTTGAGAAGTGTTTTGTGCCATGGCCCCAAAGTGTTTTTTCAATCTATCAAGTGCGCCTTGTCACACTTTACACTTCAATAATCTGTGTTCTGCTTCAACTAAAAAAACTTCAGTGGTACCTCAAATTTCAAACGGCTCCCAACTTGAACAATTATGCAAGTGTATTTTTGGGGTCTGAAACAGACAAATTCGTTCGGTATCGGCACTCGAACAACCTTCTGGAACTAATTAAAGCCGAAATTTGAGGTACCACTGTACTTGTTTTTCTAATTCAGGTTAATTTATGTACAACAGAGTGTTGGTAATCTCATGTACACTGTACATTGTTGCTGTTTTCTCATTGCTGTACACTTTTGTACAGTGGACAGTGGTTTAACTGAAGTTAGAGTAGTTTTGGGTATATTTTGGCTTAGATTTACTAAACAGTTATCGAACAAATAATGGTGAAAGCATTTCCTCTTTTCCTCTGAGTCACACTACCCCAGTCAGAGATGACCTGTGTATTAAACATCTTAAAAAATAAAACCCTCCTACCCCAGTGGTAGATGACCTTTGTATTGTATTGAAAATCTTTAAAAATAAATTCCTGCTACTCCAGTAGTAGACGACCTTTGTATTCTATTGAAAAAGTTCAAAAATAAATGTCTTGTACCCCAGTGGTAGACAACCTTTGTAACCAAAACCTTTAAAAACAAACGCCTCTCACAGGTGAACATGATTAACACCTTCGGCACACCCAGCACGGATAATCCTCGACCTTTCAAGTGCCATGACTGCAAGATCGCCTTCAGGATCCACGGTCACCTGGCCAAGCACCTACGCTCCAAAATGCATATTATGAAGCTGGAGTGCCTCAGGAAACTCCCCTTTGGAACCTATGCTGAAATTGAGCGCTCGGGTGCCAACCTTAATGAGATTGACACGACAGACTGTGACAACTCTCTGGAGAGCTTACAGGTTAGTACTGTTTTTATTATTATTATGCTACTACTACTTATCCTACTGATACTACTACTACCACCACCACCACCACCACTACTGTTAGTATTATTGACATGCTCTTGGACTGTGAGCAAAGTAACAGTTATGAAGGAATTCAGGGAAACTGGTTAGCTGGACTTGAGTTCTGGAGGTGGGAAGTGCAGTGCCTGTGCTCTGAAGGATGAGTGAGGATGTTACAGTTCTGGAGGTGGGAAGTACAGTACCTGTACTCTGAAAGATGAGTGAGGATGTTACAGTTCTGGAGGTGGGAAGTACAGTACCTGCACTCTGAAGGATGAGTGAGGATGTTACAGTTCTGGAGGTGGGAAGTACAGTACCTGCACTCTGGAGGTGGGAAGTACAGTACCTGTACTCTGAAAGATGAGTGAGGATGTTACAGTTCTGGAGGTGGGAAGTACAGTACCTGCACTCTGGAGGTGGGAAGTACAGTACCTGCACTCTGAAGGATGAGTGAGGATGTTACAGTTCTGGAGGTGGGAAGTACAGTACCTGCACTCTGAAGGATGGGTGAGGATGTTACAGTTCTGGTGGTGGGAAGTACAGTACCTGCACTCTGAAGGATGGGTGAGGATGTTACAATTCTGGTGGTGGGAAGTACAGTACCTGCACTCTGGAGGTGGGAAGTACAGTACCTGCACTCTGAAGGATGGGTGAGGATGTTACAGTTCTGGTGGTGGGAAGTACAGTACCTGCACTCTGAAGGATGGATGAGGATGTTACAGTTCTGGTGGTGGGAAGTACAGTACCTGCACTCTGAAGGATGGGTGAGGATGTTACAGTTCTGGTGGTGGGAAGTACAGTACCTGCACTCTGAAGGATGGGTGAGGATTTACAGTTCTGGTGGTGGGAAGTACAGTACCTGCACTCTGAAGGATGGGTGAGGATGTTACAGTTCTGGTGGTGGGAAGTACAGTACCTGCACTCTGAAGGATGGGTGAGGATGTTACAATTCTGGTGGTGGGAAGTACAGTACCTGCACTCTGAAGGATGAGTGAGGATGTTACAGTTCTGGTAAAGATACCCAGCTGTACAACATTTTGGGTATCTTTACACATTTCACCCACCAATGACTTCTTCACTGCAATACAAAAGACTGGATAGGTAAATGAGGGGGTCAGTCCCTCACCCTAGGAGCAAGTAGAACAAGTCACAGTAACACATCAAGAGCATGCCACAGTAACACGTCTAGAACAGGTCACAAACCCGTTTTAAACAAGTGGATAACATCATCTGCAAAACATTTCCAAACTTTACATTTTTCTCGCGTTTTTTCTCACTGAGATGCCACCGTAGCTCTTAAATACCCCCCCAGGCCATGGCGTCGCGCTTGTTCGAGAAGGACCCCAATAAACTAGGTGCTTGGCACAACCACCAGGAGCGCCAACACCACCGTGTCCGCACTGTCAGCAACTCTTCCACCAATTCTGATGACTATCCACTGCAGGACGACCAGGATGAGGTGCTCGCTACTAATGACGATGACACTGGTAATTATTAATGTCTCTTTAATTATGTTAACTGTATGCTGCTGTGCATTATTATTATTATTATTATTATTATTATTTTTATTATTACAGTATTATTATTGTTATGGTTATTTTGTATTATTATTATGGTTAATATATTATGCTTATTATTATGATTTTTATCACACTGGCCATTATTATTATTATTATTATTATTATTATTATTATTATTATTATTATTATTATTATTATTATTATTAACACATTGGCCATTATTAGTATTATTATTATCATTATTATTATTATCACCTCTCTTATAAAGCTTCTGTGCATATGATTATTTTTATAAACGCAGCTGCAGAAGGTCATGCAAGACAGTACAGTACATAGAAAAGCGTTCATGGTGAGCCTATTCAATTTCCGATGCACTTTCTCAAGTTGTATCTTTTTAAAAAATCACTGTGTATAGCGGAGCTTTGCAAGCGAGCTGTCCGTGTATGCCAGTACCGCCTCCTTGATTAAGTAGCATATTCTTCCTCCGACAGAGGGAGATGAGGATGAGGATGTACCTGTAGCTCGGGATGCTGGTAGACTGGGGTTTTCCGGAGCGGCAGGTAGCAGCCACAGCGACCTGCACACAACGCTCGCTCACCCGGTGTCGTCTCCCATTGAAATTGGCTCGGTGAGTATCTCTTACGACTTAAACTACCATGGATTATACTTGTGGTGAAGCGCTCAACCCATATGGGTCATGCAATGCCTGGGAATGAGTGGTAATCAGGTTTGACTCACAAAGTCACAATAACACAGTTGTAAGTGAACCACAGAACAAGTGGAGGTAGACTGCATGGCAGGTTAGTGGAAAAACTCACAGGCCAGTGTGTTAACAACTAGACCAGCTGGCCCTAATATGATTCACCCAGCTAAGTACAGGAAGTCTTCAACTTACAAACATGTTGGGACCTGTATTACATATAATAATGATATTATACACAATACAGAAGATTCTCAACGTATTTATAAGTTGAGGACTTACTGTATATTACTATACACCATAGGGAGGTTAGCATGGGCCACCACTGTGACCGCAAATGCCCTGGAGTTCTAGGATTCACTGGCAGTGGTTTAAATTCAGCCCATTCCTTGGTTGGGTTTGTTTTAAGAATGGCACGGGTGGCTTGTATTCCTTGAGTCAAGAGCCCCCCCCACTGGGTACCACCCTTAGAGGGCAGCCCACTGACACTTTGAGGTACGTAAAATTCACAAATAAGACATGTATGCAACATGTTTATTGCTGTAATGTTGGTAGAATTACCCACAATATGTTATGTAAAAGACACAAGTGCACCTGATGTGATATTTTATTGTGGCAGTGTTTCACTCTCCTGGTTAAGGTTTGTCGTGGCTCTTCAGGGTTCGTCAAGGTTCATCAAGGTTCGTCAAGGTTTGTCAAGGTTTATCAAGGTTTGTCAAAGTCTGAGTGACTCTGCATGTCGCACCCTGCCCCCAGGCCACCAGCATGGCTGGGAAATACAGTAGGACTGCCATATCAGCAGGTCTGGTTTCCGTGGTTTCAGTTATCCGCAGTTCACTCTGGCCCAAGAACAAACCTTAACCCTTTCAGGGTCCAGAAACCAATCTGAATATTCAAAAAAAAAAAATTATTTTTTTCTTATGAAATGGTAGAGAATCTTTTTCTGGAGGTAATAAAACATTAAGTACAAAATTTGATAGTGTAATTTCATCAGTTTTCCATCACTAATTTTGCTGCATCAGTGATATTTGCGCATCAGCAATTTTGCCCACTCTGACCTCTAATTAACCCTTTGACTGTCGCGGCCGTATATATACATTTACGAGGCACCATGTTTGACGTATATATACTCATCAATTCTAACTGCTTCAAATCAAGCAGGAGAAAGCTGGTAGGCCCACATGTGAGAGAATGGGTCTGTGTGGTCAGTGTGCACCATATAAAAAAAATCCTGGAGCACGCAGTGCATAATGAGAAAAAAAAAACTGACCGTTTTTTTTAATTAAAATGCCGACTTTGTGGTTTATTTTCGTATAGTATTTGTGGTTGTATTCTCGTTTTCTTGGTCTCATTTGATAGAATGGAAAACATATTATAGAAATAGAGTGATTTTGATTAATTTTACTATAAAAAGAACCTGGAAATGGAGCACAAAGTACGGGAAATGTTTGATTTTTGCCGATGTTCAAAAGTAAACAAATGATGTCATTGTCCAATAAATGTCCAACTAGCCATTCTAATATGCAGTCATGAATGGGTTGATGTAATTTTTACAATTATTACAGTATTGCAGTAGTCTGCATAACAGTAAATCTATTTTTTGTTTGAATAAAATTTCAAAATAAAAAGCAAGAGTAATATCAGAGGGGCCTGGAGACATGACTGATGAACAAAGAAAATGTTATTTTAGAGCCAGGAATGTCTGCATTGTTCATTCTGGACCTTATTTTGAAATTGTCATATTTTTTAATTTTCTTGAAATTGGCCAAATTGCAAATTTCTGACCATGTTATTGAGTAGTTGAAATCGGTAAATGGGCAGTTTCTTGTACTCAATCGATGGAGAAAATGGAGTACTGAAGAAATAGCTATGAGTTTGGTTGACTGGAATAATGGAATTAGCCGAAAATAGGGCTCAAAGTGGGCGAAATCGCCGATTTTTAAATATCGCCGAGGTCGCTAACTTCGCGAGAGCGTAATTCCGTCAGTTTTCCATCAAATTTCGTTTTTTTGGTGTCTTTACAATCGGGAAAAGATTCTCTATCATTTCATAAGAAAAAATAATTTTTTTTTTTTTAAATTTTGTGACACCAGGAGACACCTCAGGATTGGGGGTTGCGACAATCAAAGGGTTAAGGCCAATTACATTGTTCCAGTCTGCTAAATTCTTAGTTATTTTACTAGTATGCATTCTGTTTTATTGACTGAACCAAGAAACCACCGAATCAAGTATTTCAGCTACCCAATAAAGTGATCAGAAAATGCTAATCTGGCCAATTTCACACAGATTTCAAAATATTCCAGTACCAAAATGGGGTCCAGAATAAACAATGCAGGCATTCCTCTGTTTATTAATTACGTTTCCAGCCTTTACACATGAATTCCATTTTGATTTTTTATTCACATACTGAAGTTTAATTCACACCAAAAAATAAAAGATAGTATACTGTTAAGCATATTGTAATAATTGTATAAATAATATCAGGGTATTCATGAACGCATATTAGACCCAGCAGTTGACATGTATTAGACGCTTGACATTTGTTTACTCTTGAACATCAGCAAAAATTGAACATTTTCGCTACTTTGAGCTCAATTTCAAGCTATTTTCGGTCCTAAAACCAGTCAAAATCATCTTTATTTCTGTAATATATCTTCTGTTCTGTCAAATGAGACCAAGAAACTATGAATACACATAAAAACCATACAAAAACACACCACAAAGTCACTGTTTTAAACCAAAAACACAGTCGTAGTTTTTTTCTCGTGCACTGCATGCTGCAGGATATTTTTTATATGGTGCATACTTACCACATAGACCCATTCTCTCATATCTGGGCCCAGATTTACCACTCACAGATTATCTGAGAGAGCTGAGCTCATCACGTAGTACTACGACACAGACTCTGGCGTTAAACCTATAAAACAACGGCATGGACGCTGAAAGGGTTAATCTGGCGCAGCCTAGAGCCTTGGATGGTCAATGTCTGGAGGCACACACATTTATTTTCACACCCGGTTGGTCTTGGACTGAGGTAGGGTGTACCTGGAGGGTGTTATGGGGGGATTCAACGACCCCACAACCCGGTCCATGACCAGGCTTAAAAGATGCAACACATTCACCATCATTCGTTACATTGCGTGAATACAACTATTATGTCTGATTACTTCCCATCTCCCAGGTGCTGTATGCACCAATTTGTGTTCACTGGAGTCAAATCATGGTTCTTTAACCTCACCAACCCATGATACTGGTTTCTGCTGTGCCTGTGGCCCCTGTGGGTTTTGCACTTCACTGCGATGACAGTATTGGGCTCGTAGTGAGCATTGTTTTTGTGAAGCAATATTGATGCATTAATTCCTGCAGGGAGCGACTGCTGGCCTCCTGGCATGTCACCTCTGTCATGAGAAGTTCCTAGAGCTAGAGCACCTTAGTGGTCACCTCTACACCGTTCATAAAGTCTCTCTCACTTACCGGTATGTAATAACAATAATAATTAATAATGCTAATGATTGTTCGAATGATGGTGAAAGTGTTTCTTCTTTTTCGGGTCACCTTACCTTGAGGAGACAGCCAATGTGTTTAATAATAATAATAATAATAATAATAATAATAATAATAATAGTAAGAAGAAGAAGAAGAAGAAGTAGAAGAAAATTAGTTAAAATAATTTAGATTATGAAAATAGCCATTGGAAAGCTCTTTATCTGTATGGGTCTCACAGCACCTGGATAATGGGTATTTATCAGCTTTAACCTTAGGGAAAGGTAACTGCAGTTCCTTGGATCAGCATCAAGGGTTGCCATAAAATTTCTTGTTCAGACATTGTCACAATACCACCATGGCGTCAAGACAGTAATGGAGTGAGTGATGATGAAGGAGTTTCTTCTTCTTTTCGGGTCATGCTGCCTCGGTGGATGGCCGATGCGTCAATAAAATTAAAAACCATTGCTGGAGGACTTTATAAATCCTCTTCTGGGTAAAACACAGCGTTTTAAATTATCAGCAACAACATGCATCTAAATAGCGCCATTAACATTTGCGTGGAGCATAAATCGTAATTTCTTTGTTCGTACACCCTTAATATCATTATATATACTGTTTGTGTAACAACATAAATTGTAATTTTAAATGAAATGTGTTGTTCATACGCTCTTAATATCCTTATGTATATATATATTTTTTTAAACAACTGGTCATCTCCCACCAAGGCACGGCGACCTGGAGAAACAGAAACGCTTTCTTGATGTTTTTCTCCTTTTACATTTAGTAATTTACACAGGACAAGGTGTTACTAGCACATTGCTCCCATGTCCACAGGACAAGGTGTAACTAGCACATTGCTCCCATGTCCACAGGACAAGGTGTTACTAGCACATTGCTCCCATGTCCACAGGACAAGGTGTTACTAGCACATTGCTCCCATGTCCACAGGACAAGGTGTTACTAGCACATTGCTCCCATGTCCACAGGACAAGGTGTTACTAGCACATTGCTCCCATGTCCACAGGACAAGGTGTTACTAGTGTTACTAAAATGCCAGGAGCAAGGAGCTAGCAACCCCTTTTCCTGTATAAATTACTAAATTTAAAAAGAGAAACTTGTGTTTTTCTTTTTAAGTCACCCTGCCTTGGTGGGATATGACCAGTTTGTTGAAAAAAATATTATTATTATTATTATTATTATTATTATTATTGTTGTTGTTATTGTTGTTGTTAAACTTGCTCTCTAAACTGCATTTTGAGGGGAAAATTGAGTTGAGGTCTTTTTCAGTATGTATGTGGCAAATACAACCAAGTCTCAATTAGTGGGAATAACGACTCCCACGGAGTGGTCGCACTATTCAAATTATGTGTAATTTTTGCCGACTGTTGAAAGAGTTTGGTTGGGAGGTAGCTTTATTTAATTTTTCACTAAATCGAAATTCGCACTATTCAAACTTGCGCTAATCGAGACCTGGCTGTATAATCCTAGGGGTGTGTTAAACCCATGAGGGTCATGCCATGCTGAGGGTATGGCAGGTAACATGAGCGTTTGCATTGTGTCTCATAGCTTAAGTTTCAGCTGGACTTTTTTTTTATTGTATTTTCCAAAAATTGCCTTGTATAGAGAAGTTTTTTAACTCAGGTTCAAATTGAGTTTTTTATAGTATTTTTATGCAGTACAGGTGTTCCTCATCTTACAATATTTTTGACTCACGATATTTTTAACTTAGGATATTTTTTATTTGCTCTTTTTTCAACTTACAATGGGTTCGTTGGGACGTAATCCCATGTTAGTTGAAGACAACTTGTATAATTGTAGTTGACATGTCATAAAATATTGCTAGGCACAAAAGAAAGCCACTAATATGCTGGGCATTTCACTGGCTGTTACAGTGTCCATGGGGGAAGAGAGTACTAAATATACGAGTCATAGAGATTCTGGGGAACAGGAAACAAACGGGTCTAATTCAGGGTTGGAAATAGTTGTTCGGTTCTCTTTATTAATGTGGCTCCTGATCTGTGACTTGTTATTTCAGCAACAGCTAGCGCAGTCCATGGTGCAGCCGTACACTTGTGGGATGTGCGAAGCCAAGTTCAGCAGCCATAGCCAACTGATGAGCCATAGTCAGTACCACCTTCCAGCCTCCAGCATGATGAGTCTCAAGTCATCGTGATTTGTGACTGGGGTCACCACCATCTTCCAGCCTCCAGTATGATGACTATCAAGTCATCATTAGTGACTGGAGATATAGTCTTGCTGGACTCTATCTCTTGTCCCTGCACAAGATTCATCTCCCGAGGATAAATACAGGCGCAGAATCAACCACACAAACAACAACACACATTCGCCCAAAAAACGCCACACACGAGTGGGTCACAAAGCACTAAATGGCACCAGAGAAGCGTGTGTCAAAACAGATAATTCCAAGAAGGCTTTAAACCTGTAAGGGTTGTGGAGTGCTCATAAATAACAATAAAACATTTTTCGACTGATGACTTGTCGTGTGTGGCCCGGCTGGTGCTACTCTGTATATAAGGTTCACGGACAATATATAATTTATTTTTATTATATTTATAGGAAGCTCTCAACCTGTATGGGTCATCTGGCAACTGGAAAATAAAAGGCAAATATTATTACATTTGTGGGGAAGCACTAAACCTGTGGGGACCATACAGTGCCTGAGGGGGGCAATCAGGTTCGATCTGAGGAAGGAGAGAATAGCTCCATCTCCTTGGAGAAAGAACTCTTCAGCAGATTTGTTGATGGCTGTGTCATTCAATCAACCCTTTGCAGTCTAGGGGGTCATGATCCAAAGAATTGGAGCTAGAGTCTCCTGTGGTCGAACTCGTTTACCTCCCATTCCCATGGCGAAACATGACCCATTTGGGTTTGCAGCTTCCCTGTGAAGCAAATAATACATTCTCAACCTTGATCAGAAGGTTCGAAAATATCGATCAATTGTCAACTGAATTTTAAAATCCGAGTGAAAGACATTTTTCAAGTGTCGGTAACATACGCAAACCTGTGAAAATATATACTGTATAATCTTTTTTTTTCACAGATATTGAGTCTGCAACTCAAAAACCTTGTGATGGTGATTGTTTACACGTGTATAAATGATGTTGCCCCCCAGGGTGAAATACATTGCCCCAGGTTTCAAAAATGTTGAAATTCAATACATGTAGAACTTTGTACATGTATATACATGTGTATATATATATATATATATACAACCCTTTTGAAATGGTTGGAAATTATTTTTGTGGCTTAATGGAGAGATGTTTGTATATACCAAATTGCCCCATTTAAAATGGGCTAAAGGCCAGATAAGCAGTTATGTTTATATGTTTTATCGTGTAAATGGGGAAATTATAAACCTATGTATGAGTTATTTATCTCCTGGGAAATAGGAGGTAATGAGGTGTGATGGGAAGATGAGTGGGGTGAATGTGAGTCCTCGGATCACGAACCTCAGATGACGCGGTGTTCCTGCAGCAGGGTATACGTGTATTGACGTTCATGTACGTCGGCCTGGCTGTGTGTGCTTCAGGGCCTTCCACAGCTAGGCAGACCTGTGCGTGTGATATTGTATTTTGCGGCTACGAAGCCACAGATCTTAAGCTCTGAAGAAGAGCTTTCAAAACTGATATTATAGCCACTTGCGACATGGGGTGACAGACACGTGCGTGTCAATGTGGCAAGTTCAGTGATGCTCAAGTGTGTTACACATATATAAAGAGTTTACCTATGCCTTAAGGCTTTATACCTGGTGTAAAAATAGACACGTTTAAGAAAAGGCTTTAACTGCGGTACGTCTTGCTCTGTGTGGAGCTTTATTGATGCAAGGGGCCTCTATAAGGTGTCAACCTTATAGAGGGTATTGACACATGAGCAAACACTTTGGATGTTTTATTATGGAGTGCTCGAGGCTCCAAAACTAAGATATTTGTAAAAATAAACTATCCCAAGTGCTTGCTTGTGTATGATGTACTGTATGATGGACTTTAGAAATATCAGGTAAAATCCACAGGGTCAGTCAATTCAGAAATGGTATACAAAGTTTGTTGTTTCAGAATTGTTTATATTTTATAATCAATGCAAAGCATTCTACAACTGTTGTCCATAATGGCCATTATATGCTGAGAGGTGTATGTCTCCCAATGTTCAGTGAGAGGTGTATGTCTCCCAGTGTTCAGTGAGAGGTGTATGTCTCCCAATGTTCAGTGAGAGGTGTATGTCTCCCAGTGTTCAGTGAGAGGTGTATGTCTCCCAGTGTTCAGTGAGAGGTGTATGTCTCCCAGTGTTCAGTGAGAGGTGTATGTCTCCCAATGTTCAGTGAGAGGTGTATGTCTCCCAGTGTTCAGTGAGAGGTGTATGTCTCCCAGTGTTCAGTGAGAGGTGTATGTCTCCCATTGTTCAGTGAGAGGTGTATGCCTCCCACTGTTCAGTGAGAGGTGTATGTCTCCCAGTGTTCAGTGAGAGGTGTATGTCTCCCAGTGTTCAGTGAGAGGTGTATGTCTCCCATTGTTCAGTGAGAGGTGTATGTCTCCCATTGTTCAGTGAGAGGTGTATGTCTCCCAGTGTTCAGTGAGAGGTGTATGTCTCCCAATGTTCAGTGAGAGGTGTATGTCTCCCAGTGTTCAGTGAGAGGTGTATGTCTCCCAGTGTTCAGTGAGAGGTGTATGTCTCCCAGTGTATGTACAGTGAGACGTATGCCTCCCAGTGTATATACAGTGAGGTGTATGCTTCCCAGTGTATATACAGTGAGGTGTATGCCTCCCAGTGTTTATGCAGCAAGAAGTGTATGCCTCCCAGTGTATATACAGTGAGGTGTATGCCTCCCAGTGTTTATACAGTAAGAAGTGTATGCCTCCCAGTGTATATACAGTGAGGTGTATGCCTCTCGGTGTATATACAGTAAGAAGTGTATGCTTCCCAGTGTATATACAGTGACGTGTATTCCTCCCAGTGTATATACAGTGAGGTGCATGCTTCCTGGTGTATTTAAGTTAAAGGAATATTCTTGATCATCGGTGAGCCAGCGACGCATCCATAATGACCCTCGTGTAGTCAGTGTACTTTCAACCCCATTAATCAACCAGCCATCTGCTCCTCCTCTTACTCCACTAAATCAAAAGGTAACTACGATAATAGACTCTACACAGAGCGGAACATTGCCGCAACCAAAAGTTATTCTGTAATACGTCTCTTTATGTTACTATTGATGGCAGTTTGCCTTTTAGATACGGTTTATAACTGGTGTTGTGGGTTTTCATTGTACTTCCAGTTTATAGCTCCAGCAGCTACTGATAAATTTGTGAGGGGATGAGATATTGTATGTATTTTTATTGTATATGTTTGTATTGAAGGATTTGTATAGATACTGTGTCACTATCAATCACCTTTTTGTAACTAAAGGGACTGGATATTTTTTTCAGCTGTAGAGTATAACCAGTCGTCTATCATGGTATTATTGCTGTGAAATTGAAGCACAAGTCTGACGGCAAGTTGATGTAAAATGCCGACTTGCCTGTGGAGTTACATCTCGACGTGGGTCCATACTTCCAGCAATGTACCATGGAATTATATTGCGGAGCATGTGGTATACCCATATGAGGTATACAGCACCTTGTGGAAAATGGGAGGGAATCAGTTCTGATCCCAGGAATTGGGGAACACTCCAATTTCTCGGATCAAGAGCTCTTCCCCCAATGTGAAGGTTCGCAGCTTTGAGTATAGAGCAGCTAGATACTTCCTAACAAGTCTTCACTGGTCTAGGAATGACGAGCAATGTTAGTAACATCAACTAACATTCCGTATTACATTTATAGACGAGCACTAAATCTGTATGGGCTGAAGTACCAGATAATAATGAGAAGATTCCGTCACTCTCCACTTATTAAGAATCACATTGTGTGAATCTCATGTTAAATGAATGCCCTGTCTATTGACGGGGCGTGTTGAACACGGCACCTGCGAATATAATTAGGTTTGATCCAAGGAAGAGGGGGAGGGTAGGCCCAGCTAATGGAAATCAATATTTCACCACAATCAGGGGTACTGGCCATGAGCCACACAGCAGTGACTTGAGAACGCAACAACAATTCGAGAACACAGCAACAATTCGAGAATGCAGTATAATTAAGCATAATCACAAATCAACATCTGACAGTCTCTTTCCACATTGATGTCTTGGCTGCACAGCACTGAAGTGCATCGCGGCGCTGGAGGACCGTAAGTATTGCATGCTGTTGTATGATGCATCCGGAGGAGCATTAAGAGGGAGAGAGAAATCCATACAGGCCATACACCACATGTAGAACTCACGATAATAAGGTTTGATTCGAGGAAGTTGAGGGTAGCTCCAAATCCTTGAATCAAGAGCCTGTTCCAATAACTTAAACTATCTATCTACTAACAAATTATGTAGCTACCTTACTGAATAACAAACTCTTTATGTAACTATAATGGTTGTATATAAATGTTTGGGAATGAAAACATTCAATATTTTAACTTTCTAGTTATTTCACTTTCTAACACTAACTGGTCAGGTGAGGGTGGCAGAGGGTTGTGCTATTGGCCAACATCAGTGGTGGTAATTTCTGGCACCCTGGGTGTGATCTAGGGTCATTTAGGGGCACTAGGTGTTCAGAGGCTCTGAACGAGGTCTTGAAGTTGACAGCAGAGGTTGATTATAGTGGTAAAACTTTTCAATTGTGTAGCTGGGAAGTTGTAGTAGCCTTTACGCAAGGAAGATCCACAAGGCTGAGCCCCTGACGACAAGTTTGGAGATTTTTCCTAGGCCTGGCTCTGGGCTAGGTCTAACCATGGGCTAGGCCTGGCCCTGGTCCTGGCCTAGGCCTGGCTAGTGATGACATTAATGAAATTACAAGCCTTCCTCACACTCCACTGTGCTGTCTTCATTCTGCCATGTTCCTTAATAGTCGTTATTATTATTTTTTATTATTAACACATTGGCTGTTTCCCACCAAGGCAGGGTGGCCTGAAAAAGAAAAACTTTCATCATCATTCACTCCATCACTGTCTTACCAGAGGTGTGCTTACACTACAATTATAAAACTACAACATTCACACCCCTCCTTCAGAATGCAGGCACTGTATTTCCCATCTCCAGGACTCAAGTCTGGCCTCTGGTTTCCCTGAATCTCTCCTTAAGTGTTTCCTTGCTCACACTCCAACAGCACGTCAAGTCCTAAAAATCATTTGTCTCCGCTCACTCCTATCGAACTGTAGTGCAGGCACGCCTCTGACAAGACAGTGATGGAGTGAATGATGTGATTGTGTTGTCTCTTGGTGTACTTGTGGTGTCCCTGCTTTTCATTGGGGGTATGTTGCATCTCCTGCCGAATCTTTGGCTTTCATAGAGAGTGATTTTTGTGTGCAGATTTAGGACCAGTTGCTCTAGGATTTTCTAGGTGTAAATTATGATGTACGGTAGGGCCCTACTTATATGGCAGGTTAGGTTCCAGGCTATCGCTGGAAATCAGACATCACCAGAAAGCAGAACGCCATTGTTTCCATTTATAAATGCATATAAATTCTAGACAACAAGTTTACACTATCTTATATTAAGTTAGTAGTATAACTAGGCATTAAAAAACACAATAAAACGTTAAATACATACACAGTACATTCATTGCTTGCCTTAAAATATTTGTAGTCTTATTAACCCTTTGAGGGTCGACAGGCCCTCTCCGAAACTCGTTCTCAGGGTCGGCCAAATTTAAAAAAAAAAAAATTATTTTCTCTTATGAAAAGATAGAGAATCTTTTCCCGATCATAACGACACCAAAAGTTTGAAATTTGATAGAAAACTTACGGAATTATGCTCTCGCAAAGTTAGCGGTCTCGGCGATGTTTACGGATCGGCGATTTTGCCCAATTTGAGCCCCATTTTCGGCCAATTTCACTGTACTAGTCGACAAAAAACATGAATATTTCGCTAGAACTCCATTTTTTCTATCGAATGGGTGCAAGAAACCACCCATTTATAAATTCAACTATCCAGTACAGTGGTCAGAATTTAGCAATTTTGCCAATTTCACACAAATTTCAAAAGATGCCAATTTCGGAATAGGGTCCAGAATAAACAAGAAAGACATTCCTGGCACTAAAATGACATTTCCTCTAGTCATTAGTCACGTCTCAAGGCCCCTCTTATATTCTTTTGCTTTCCACTTTGAATTTTTATTCTCACAAAAAATATAAGATTTACTGTTATGCAGACTACTGCATTAGTGTAAAAAATGGTATAAATATTATTGGTGCACTTGTGAAAGAATATTAGACTCACCAGTTGACGTGTAATGCACGCTTGGCACGATTTGTTTACTTTTGAAGTTTGGTAAAAATCGAACATTTCTGCTACTTTGAGCTCAATTTCAAGGCACCTTTCATTGTAAAACCAGTCAAAATCATCTCAATTTCAGTAAAATGTCTTCCATTCTATAAAATGAGACCAAGAAAACTAGAATACAACAATAAATACCATACGAAAATACACTGCAAAGTCGCTGATTTATTAAAAAAAAATGGAAAAAGTTTTTTTTTTCTCATTATGCACCGTGTGCTGCAGGATTTTTTTTAGACTGTGCACACTGACCACATAGACCCATTCTTTCATATGAAGGCCTACCATCTTTCTCCCACTAGATTTGAGGTCGCTAGAATTTATGAGTACTAGTACGTCAAAAACCCCTACACGTAAGACGTACTAGTACGACGAAAACCCTCAAAGGGTTAATGTAGGGCGAGAAGTGAGTAGTACTGATTTGTAAAAAGTCAGGTGTAGGTAGCCCTGACTCTCGGTCCCAAACTTATTATACTATTTAAAGCAGCCCAGAGATAATATACACATACAGTACACTCATTATTTACCTTAAAATATATGTAGTCTTAATGTTGGATGAAAGGTGAGTAGTATTTATTTGTAGGAAGTCAGGTGTAGGTAGCTGGTAGGTGTAGCCCAGGCTACACCTACTGGCTACCTACACTGCGGCCCAAAGCCATATTATTACCATTGATATACCTTGTTCACTGAGTTTAATCATTTCTAACAACTACCTTTAGATGCCAAAAGCGGAGTGGGGGAGTGACTGGGCCAAACGCAGATTCATACACGGTTTCTTTGGTGCTGGACCAGAGAAAACGTAATGTTTTCCCTCCGCCTGGCATATAAACATGCTATGTTTATGTACTGTGTAACATGTTTCTTATATAGTTTTGAAGAAAATATAGATGGATTAATGAAAATGTCTATATTAACCTAAAATAAGACATTTAATGTGCCCAAGAGTGATTATTATTACATACTATTAGTATTACTACGGTGTTAAAACTAGAGGGACACTCTTAGTGATTTTAATGTTTACCTGCATGCCAGCACAGTGTGTAAATAAAGACCAACACTTCCATTCTTATGTAATTTTTAGAAGGAATGATGCTCTGATAAATTATTATTATTATTACAAGTTGTTATTATTAATACAAGTTAGTATTATTATTACAAGTTATTATATAATTGCAATAAAAAAGAAGTGCTAAACCCACAAGGGTCGTGAATAGCTATAGATAGAGTGAAGGCATACAAAAGGAATAAATTTCTAGTTAAGTTACTGGTGTTTGACTAGAGAAAACGTAATTCTTCCGACCCTCCGCCAACCACTTGGTAAACAAATCTCCTATTTACGTCAGTTTTTATACTGTGGGTGTATGTATCATGTTTATAGGTTATGTAGCATGTTTATTATATAGTTTTGAAAAAATATCATAGATGGATTAATGGAAAGATCTACATTAGCATAATATACGACATTTAATGCGCCCAAGAGATTATATGGCGTCAAGAGTAGAGAGACTTAGTGATTTTAACCCTTAAACTGTCCAAACATAGATCTGTGTTTGCACTGCTAGTGCTCCAAATGTAGATGTACGTTTTTTTGTACATTTGAAAGCATGTCAAAAAAAAAAATTTAGATCTACGTTTGGAGTGCTAGCAGTGCAAACGTAGATCTACGTTTGGATCGTTTTAGGGTTAATGTGTACCTGCACGCCAGCACAGTGTGAGTATATTTAGGTATGTGTACACGTAAGTATAATTATCAGAGTATATATAAAATACACAATAACTTTAAAACACTATAAATTTAGGAAAATTTCCAGATATAATAGAGTTGTGCTCACAGAGAATGAAAACGAACTGGGTGGGGCACGCTGATTTGAAAGACCGCTCGCCATATAACAAATTTTGGTCATATTTAGAAATCGCCACATTAACGGAACGCCATAAAGCGGGGCCCTACTGTGTCTTTCTCACCTGCTACACTTATGCCAGCCATGGTTCTGATATTTTCTGCTAAGATG